TTAAAATACCTACATAGATAATTGCACCTAGAGTTTTCACTTTTTTTTAATTTAAAAAGTATCAGGTTCCTTTTCAATTTAAGCTTAAAACAAGAGGCAAGCTAATATGCTGTTTGATATGCTTCTCCTAAAACCGAGTGCCCAACTATTTGGCTATTCTTAAGACAATGGTCAGAATCTTAGTAAAATTTAAATGATCAACTAGTTTCTAAACTAAATAATACATACCTACAAAATTCACACTTGACTGACAAAGTACAAAAACTTTTCTAGTCTCAATACAAAAATCAGTTACATATTACGTAACAAACATAATTTTACATTTAATAATTCCTCATATTCAAAGTACTCTAAGTATTAATTTCCCACTTAGAGTACTTTAATTAAAATTAAACCTCTTCTATTCATGGATATGTACTACACCCTCTTTCATGCTACAACATACGAAAAGCCCAGCTCTCAAGTTTGTTCATAATAAGTTAGGAGAAAACTTTGTTTCCCAACTACAAGTACATATAATAATTAGTACTATTAACCACCGACCTACAATAAAACCACCTGAGTAAGTATTATTGGTCCATTTTTACAGATGGGAAAGTTAAGGATCAGATATCAGATTTCACACAAAGACTCATATGCATGACTAGAGCTCAGCAATATACATGATGGTGCCCCCTTAAGCAGCATCTCGGCTAACCTACTCTTCTCCCTCTATGCACACTAGGTATTAAAACTCTTCAAACCATGGCTTGGTGGCAACATGTTCTCTCACTGAGCTTTGAGCACACTTGTCATGCTATTCAAATGATATTTATCTATCTATCCAAACCCCTTCAAGTCCAACTAACCACCATTCAATTATGAATATAGCTTTGATATATTCATTTTTAAATAATGCACATTTTCACTGACCATGACACAACTGATTTTAGCATCCGGTTTACTATGACTGAGAGAGGAAAGAGATGGGAACTACAGTTTAAACCATATGAAACTGTGAATAATCAACTGTTTAAGCTAATAGTAACTGTTACTGAGTGGCCAATAAATTCTAAGACTTGAAGAACTGTTTAATTAAATCCCCACAACCTTATTACTTAAATATTATTGCCACTTCAAAGATAAAAAAATTTAGACGGTAAAGTAGGTCAAGGTACGCACGGACTTGAGATCCACACTCAAGCCTCTCCACCAAGCATCATAATTTTATTGCTTATGTTGTCTAATGAAAACACGTAACTCCCAGGTAGTTTGATATTGGTGAGCTATTACACTGGCATCTTTCCCTTGATCTTAGGCCTTAAGTGGCCCCTCCCTATCTATTTGGCAACTCTTCCATGTCTTTCTCATTTCCAACCTCAGTCTCAGTCCTATCTTAAGGTCCTCTGGTTGTTTTACCAATGTCCTCAGATATGCTCTCTGTATTCTAGAAAAGAAAATCTCTTCTAAGGATACCTTAACTACTTCAATATGGTTATTATATTTGGTTTGATTGTTTAAATTATTATTTTCAAATTTTCAATTTGAACAATATAAAAAATTATATAATATAAAAAATTATATTAGTTTAAAATATTTATTTTGCTATAATATTGTTTCTACAGGGAATCTCTCTTTCAAATAGTTTTCATTACTTCACTCATTTTTTCTATTCCCACTCCTCACCCCCATAAGCTTATTTATTTCAGAGCCAACAAGGTAATATGATTCAAATGTTTGTTAGATCTTGTTACTTTTCCATTTAAAGCCTCACAATGACTTTTTATCACAATCAGAATAAAATTCAAAATCATAACCATGGTCTGTAAGGCTCCACAACATAGTCTCTCACTACAGCACATCTTAACTTCTGCCACTGTTCACTTTGTTAACTGAGCTCCAGCCACAATGGCTTTGCCTCCTTGCTTATTATCTAAATACAGCATACTTGTACATGTGCTCACCTCAGAATCTTTGCAATGACTCTTCCATTTTGGCTTACTTTCGCTTCATTCAGGTCTCTGTTTAAAGGTTAGAGAAACCACTCCTGACCTTTACAGTAGTATCAGCCTCCACTATTGTCCCATTATGCCACCTTATTTTTCTTCATAGCATTTGCCACTTGACCACTGGGAGACAATTCTCCATGGGTCTTTCATTTCTGAACATTTTGCGAGCTAGGCACTAACTGCCCTTTCTTTCCTGCACTTTTTAAGGATATTTGTATAGCAAATAGCCTTGGTAGTTACAGATAGCATGTTCCTCTAGAGTCAAGAGCAGGCATGCTTATTGTCCATTATAAAAGATTCAGCTTCTCAGGTTTCCTCTTCTTTTCTGATTTTATTTTTATTTTTATTTTTTTGGCAGCCGGCTGGCACAGGGATCTGAACCCTTGACCTTGGTGTTATTAGCACCACACTCTGACCAAGTGAGTTAACTAGACAGACCCACTCTTCTTTAATGCATGCCACTATGTACAGGTCTCATCTGGTTCTCTTCACTTTGCCCTGTGGGAACTGGGACTCATGTAACTATCTCAAGAAAATGCTGATTCTACAGTTATTGCTATTGCTGTGAGTAATAAAGTTCTTTTGTTTCTGACTCAGAAGTCTTGCATTTTTGTCCATCATCCATAAAACTGTGGCAGGCTGCAAGTAGGGTAAAATCCTAGACTCTTCATAGTTCTCATACTGAGATTACATATTGGTTTTCTCTTTATCCATTTGTTTCTCCTAATTTTTTGACTACTATATCTTTATTTTCCTACAGTGTTCAAAGCACTTTTACAAACAGTATCATTTGACCTTCAAAAATCCCTGTGAGGGGGCCGGCCCGGTGGCGCACTGGATAGTGCCGGCAACGGATCGCAACCCTCGGTGTTGCTCCCGCGCCTCGCTTAGCCAGTGAGCGGGAACCGGTCTGTATGTGGGATCCGAACCCTCGGGCGGGAGCGCCGCCGCGCTTCCCAAGCAGCGCACTATCCTCTCATACTGAGATTACATATTGGTTTTCTCTTTATCCATTTGTTTCTCCTAATTTTTTGACTACTATATCTTTATTTCCCTACAGTGTTCAAAGCACTTTTACAAACAGTATCATTTGACCTTCAAAATCCCTGTGAGGGGGCCGGCCCGGTGGCGCACTGGATAGTGGATAGTGCGCTGCTTGGGAAGCGCGGCGGCGCTCCCGCCCGAGGGTTCGGATCCCACATACAGACCGGTTCCCGCTCACTGGCTGAGCGAGGCGCGGGAGCAACACCGAGGGTTGCGATCCGTTGCCGGACACGGAAAAAGATAAAAAGACAAAAAAAAAAAAAAATCCCTGTGAGGCATTTTCTATTCCCATTTAATCAGGAAGATACTTATCCAGGAAGGTTAAAAGACAAACCCAAGATAAGCACAACAAATCAGTCACAGAATAGCAATTACAGCCCAGATCTAACTCCTAATTTGTTATTAACTTGTGACTGCTTCTTAAAAGACAACTAACATGCCGTACATGCATTCTCTGAGATGGAAGGATAATCACCCACTGATATCAAATGGCAAATTTCTTATGTGGTAACACATGGAAACACAAAAATGGAAATGAATAATAAAACTGAGTACCCAAATAAGCACCTTAAAGATATTACAATATACATCATTTAGCTTTTATTACACAACACATGAATGGGCATGTAACAAAACTACATCCTGCTATTACACTAACAGCCCATTTATTTTATGTCTAAAGGAATAGATATTGAGAAAATGACAAAAAATGCTTCTTTTGTAACTAATATTTTCTATCTTTCCAATAATCAAGATTGCTTTAAAGATAAACTTCATTAATCTGAAAAGATTCCAGGTAATTTTAATGCTTCTTGCACAACTCAGGGGTAGGTAAGAAGGAAGCATTTCTTACTGCCTTTTCCTCTAATAATTTGAGCAAAAGACTCAAAGAGCAGTCTCTACACAAGTTTGTCAGTCATTTATAATCCATACCTTACCACTTCCAGAAAGACTGAAAAAAAATCCATCTCTGAGAATATAAGATTAGATCCTTTATACTGGAGAAGTATCAAGTTACATAAAATATCTGATTTTAAAAATCCTATATCCTCAAGTAGGATAAAACTACTGAATCAGTGACAGGCACTGATTTATGGTCAGAGTTCTGGTATGCTTATAAATCACTAAATCTCTTATTACTCCGTACCCATGGGTTCTGCACTTCTGAATTCAACCAACTGTGGATCAAAAATATTTGGGGAGGGCCGGCCCGGTGGTGCACTGCTACAGTGCGCCGCTTGGCTCCCGAGGGTTCGGATCCCACATACAGACCGGCCGCTCACTGGCTGAGCAAGGTGCGGGCACAACACCGAGGGTTGCGATCCTGTTGCCGGTCCCGGTCCGGTATGGGCGCGACACTGAGGGTTGTGATCCGTTGCCAGTCACGAAAAAAGACAAAAAGGAAAAAAAAAAAAATATTTGGGGAAAAAAATGGATGGTTGCATCTGTACCGAACATGTACAGACTTTTTTTCTTGATATTATTCCCTAAACAGTACAGTATAACAACTATTTACATAGCATTTACATTGTATTAGGCATTGTAAATAATCTAGAAATGATTTAAAGTATACAGGATGATTTGCATATGTTATACGCAAAGACCACACCCTTTACATAAATGACTTGAGCATCTGTGGCTTGTGGTATTCATGAAGGGTCCTGGACCCAAACCCCTGTGAATATAAGGGAGAACTGTATATAATCACCTTCAAGATTCAGAAATTAAAAATTTGTTCTTGAATATTACACATATTGGCATTCTCTTTCTAAATTTCACAAATAAAGATAAAATGACTGTGACTAATTTTTTAACACTTGACCCTCCTCTTAGGTAAAGAAAACTGAAGAAAAACTGTACAAAGAACTAAAATATTAAACAGGGAAATAGAATTAAGTTGAATAGATTACTAAGGTTAAAAAAATTGCTTTATAAGGTGATTCTTTAATTTTAACTCATTACACTTACTGTGTAAGTTATAGCTGCCAACATTCCTATCAAGGTCAGAGAACTAATGGAAAATGACAATGCAGCTAAACCATCTGCAAGAAAGAAAAACTTCGTTAAAAACGTACATATATACTACAAATGTTTATATTCAGCAAATCAATATAAAATATAAAAAATCAGTCTCATTATATATTTGGAAGGAATAAAACCAATATATACTACCATGTCCTTGGAGTGCTAATTCCAAGCAAAGAAAAGAGTTTTTAAAGCACTCTTAACAAACTGATTTGTAGAAGATCTTTCAGACTGGCTAAGATTTTTTTCCCTTTACCTCTTAAATTAAGAGGAAAATCACTGTCTAATTATTGGAACTAAAAAGAGATCAGCAAAATATTAGACACTTAAAAGGTGATAAAAGAGATTGCCTGGCCTTTCTCAATGGCAGATCCTGAGAAATAACATTACATAGGAAAGCCATTGACCTCGACTCTTTCTCCTTTTTCACCCCTCAATCTCGATACTTCCAGTTTCTTTGTTCCTAATTTTCAAATAAATTTTTAATATGTAGCCTAAAACTAAAATCTTAATTAAAGTTAATTTCACTTTTTAACTTGAAAGGACTAGCTTGCCCCCTCGGCAGAAAACTAAAAGCAAACACAAACAGAAAACAGATTTAAATATAACACCAGAAAAAGGAATACTATGCTAACAAATTGGATTTAAGAAATTATTTAAAGGAAGACCAATGAGTGAGGGGTAGGGGTGACACTTTCCAATAAATATATGAGATTAAGTAATGAAATAAGAATATCTTGTTTAAGATTTGAGACAAAAAATAAAATAAAATAAACATTAAAGTGAATGAGAGTGTAAAAATTAGAGTAATGCTACCTATCTAAACACTGATTCAAGTTATACTAATACTCAAAGACTAGTATAACTTATGAAATAATATTTAGGGCAGAAGAGCAAGTTACTCAAGAGACCCGAAAGAGTTAACTGCAAGAAGAGAAGCAATTTATTTCTCAGCAATAGGATCAAGGTGCACAAATCCTGACAATTCAGTATTACTAGATGTCAGGCTTGCTATCCTTATTCTTGCTGGTATCAGCAAGATATTAATGGACTACAATTTACAAAATGAAATCTTAAGTGGAAAGCAAGAAAATTAAGAAATTATACAGCAGAGTTCAAGACTTAATTTAATCATCATTTAACAGTGTATCTGGGTAAAAAAAAAGAAGGGCTGATTAAAAAAATGTACAGTACCTATTATAATAAATACAAAGGCAATACAATTTTTTAGCATAATGTTTATAAAAGTAAGTATTCTAGATTTCTTTGAAAATAAAGTTACTATGCTCAAATGCAGAGGAAATTATGAGTAATATGGTACACATTCTTATTTGATATCACTTTCTAATGCCAAACCTATTTTTCAGTGATTAAGCAGCTTTCCAACTGAAGCCTCTGAATCTACCTATTTTTTTCCTCTAAAAACATAGGTCACATAAATTGTTAGGGAAAACTTGTGGAAATGCAATGCCAAAATGTTTTGGTGAGATAAATTTATAATAAAACATTATTTAATTCATATGAAAACCTCTGTAATTTATATTTTGCATAAAAAATTACTTAATCTCAAACAATCATATAGGGTTCTCTTTTATTAATTAAAAATAAAAACCAATATACCCAGTATCCAGTACATTTCTTTGGCATATTATTCTATATTACCCTAAGTGAATTAAAGATCATATAGAAATTATAAGACCTTCACTGCTAAAACATTTTGAAAAAAAGATTAAGTTTTCTTTTCATCAGGGTAATTTTATGAAGAAGTCAAGAAACTAGCTACATAATAACTACGTGGCTAGTAGTGACCCTTAACAACACAAAGCTCCTAATTTGTCTAGTATACATTTAACCGCAAGTTAGAAGAACTGTAGGGTTAAATTTTTAACAAAGTAAAAATAGGCTACTTCTCAAAAACAATCCCAAGGATCAGGAAAAATGAATTACTATGATTTTTTAAAGAAAAATACTTACGACTACTTCCAAGTTCTTCAAACAGGAATTTCACCTTTTCCCACTCTGTAGAATTTTTGTTATTGGGAACATTCAATGGAACAAAAGCACTACAAAGGAGAAAACTCTTTTTAATGGTTTTAAAGATAAAAGGTTGAATAAAAGAAAACAGTCGAAAACTCAATCTTTTTAACACAAAGATCAACTTTTGCCCAAAAGAATTAATAAATCAAATCTCTATCATGCACAGAGGAGTGTAAGAAGGTTCTCATCTGTGTATTTCGCATGTTTGTTTTATTATTGTATTCAATTAGTTTCCTTTGTAATCTCACATATTTTATTTTTTACATATAAAAATATTTTGATTTGTCAATTGTACTTAATAAAGCTGGAGAAAACAAAACAAAAATTAAATAAGTAAAATATTTTGAGAAGGGATCATAGGTCAAAAAGTCCATGGCACAAAAAAAGGTTAAAGACCTCTATGTTAAATCAATAGAAGAGAATATAAATATGTGCAATTATTTCAATATACGTATATGCATATAAAAGAATACAAAGGAAAAACATCATAATAAAACAGTAAATATCTCATTTTTGGATAAGGGGTGATTTTTACTTGCTTCTTAGTATTTTTCTATATCTTTCAAGATTCTACCCAATAGATATAATGAAAGTAGTTTCTATTTATTTTTTAATCCTCAACTGAAGTAGGATCATTGAAATAACAGAGACATAGGACTTTCTCTAGGAGCTTAGACTGGGAGAATATGTAAAGTAGAATGAATAAATAAATGGTCACTTTATTATCTAGCCCAGATCAATAAACAAGAAGATAATCCAGAGATTAAGTTAAATGTCTGGATATCATTTAGATTAAATATGTGGAAAATCAAACAGAAATATAAAAAGTAACTCTAATACTACTTCCTTCCCAACTTAATTTTAATTGTAACCAAAGCAGCAAGATCTATTCTCTTTTGTAAAGAAGAAATATTCAATGAGTTCAACAATATATTAAAGTATCTGCTCTGATAATGTTTTCAAGTAAAACAAAATAATTACTCTAAAATATTGTTTTTAATTTTAAAAGCCTTGGTATTACTGATAATTCTTATAAAAAGATGACTGGGCAGAGCATGTCAGGAGGTTACCTAAATTTCTGTTTGTATCAACAGTTTACTATACTCTTCTTATTCTTGGAAACTTATTTCTCACCACTTTAGAAAGACAAGTGATTACTCACAAGCATACAGCAATAAATATAAAAAGTTTATTATTTGTTGCCCCAGCTGTAAAATCAAACAATTAAACTAAAGCAGTGAGGTGGAATCAAAAATAAAAGTTAACAACTTTTGCATATTATAAATCTATAATAATACTAACTTAATATTAATATTTAATTATCAGAAATATAAACTTAATATAAATTTAATTATCAGAAAAACTACCTACATAATATCCCTCTAATTTAATTGATAAAGTTTTTTCTGGATATCCCAGAAAGTATGATTTGAACTTGTTAGTCAGGAATAACCAATCTGTGAGTGTGGAAAAACAAAAATGTCTATGTTGTCCAAAATGTCATCTACGGTACTACTGAAACAGACATATATAGTATTGTAAATATCAAAAAAAAATCCATACTCAGAATATTCAGTCTCAATATGTCAATCTTAGGTAATCAAGTGTAAATTAATTAACACTTCCTCTTGATGACACTTTCACGTTCAAATTCCTGAGCAGGGCCATTTAGCAGTTCAAACATTTAAACCAAGAGTAACACCAGAGGAGACCTCATATGACCAAAAAAATTTTTTTAAATAAAAACACATTTTTTTTTTTTTTTGCTCAGGATTGCTTTGGCTATTTGGGGTCTTTTGTTGTTCCATAAGAATGTTAAGACTGTTTTTTCCATTTCTGTGAAGAATGTCATTGGTATTTTGATGCAGATTGCATTGAATCTGTAGATTGCTTTGGGTAAAATGGACCTTTTCACAAAGTTAATACTTCCAATCCAAGATCATGGAATGTCTTTCCATCTTTTTGTCTTCTTTAATTTCTTTCAGTAGCGGTTTGTAGCTCTCATTGTAGAGATCTTTCACCTCTTTGGTTAAATTGATTCCTAGGTATTTTATTTTTTTCATGATTATTATAAATGGACTTTCTTTCTTGATTTCTCTTTCTGTTATAGCTCATTATTGGAGAATATAAATGCAACTGATTTGGGAGCATTTATTTTGTATCCTGCAATGTTACTGTAATTATTAACCAGCTCTAGGAGTTTTTTGATAGACTCTTTAGGTTTTTCTATACATAATATCATGTCATCTGCAAATAGGGACAGGTTGACTTCATCTTTTCCAATCTGGATGCCCTTTATTTCTTTCTCTTGCCTGGTTGCTCTAGCTAGTACCTCCAGCATTATGTTAAACAGAAGTGGTGAGAGTTGTCATCCTAGTCTTGTTCCTGTTCTTAAGGGAAAAGCCTTCAGGTTTTCCCCATTCAGAATGGTACTGGCAGTGTGTTTGTCATAGATGGCTTTTACTGTGTTGAGATACTTTCCTTCTATGACTAATTTCTTGAAAGTCTATATCATGAAGGGATGGTGAATTTTGTCAAATGCTTTTTCGGTGTCTACTGAGATAATCATACGAGTTTTTTCCTTGATTTTGTTTACATATCACATTTATTGACTTTTGTATACTGAAACATCCTTGCACCCCTGGGATGAATCCCACTTGATCATGGTGTATAATGTTTTTGATTTGTTGCTGTATTTTGATTGCTAATATTTTGCTGAGGGTTTCTGCACCTATGTTCATCAAGAATATTGGCCTATAATTTTCTTTTTTGTTATGTCTTTATCTGGTTTTGGTATCAGAGTTTTGTTGGCCTCAAACAATGAGTTTGGGAGAATGGCTTCTGCTTCAATTTTTTGAAATAGTTTGAGGAGAAATGGTATTAATTCCTCTTTAAAGGTTTGATAGAATTCAGCTGAAAAGCCATCCAGACCTGGCCTTTTCTTTGCTGGAAGACTGCTGATTACTACTTCAATCTCGTTGCTTGTTATTGGTCTGTTCAGGTTTTCTATCTCTTCTTGGTTCAGTTTGGGTAGTTTTTGTGTGTCCAGAAACTTATCCATATCTTCCAGGTTTTCATATTTGTTGTCATACAGTTGTTTAAAATATACTGTAATGATTCTTTGTATTTCTGTGGTATCAGTTGAAATGTCTCCCTTTTCATTTCTGATTTTTGTTATTTAGGTCTTCTCTCTTCTTTTTTTCTGTTAACCTAGCTAATGGCCTGTCTATTAATCTTCTTGAAAAACCAACTTTTTGTTTCGTTGGTATTTGTGTCATTTTTTGAGTCTCTACTTCATTTAGTTCTGCTCCAATCTTAAATCTTTCTTTCCATCTACTACCTTTAGGATTGGAAAATAAAGCCAGAGGCACACTACCTGACTTCAAATTATACTACAAAGCTACAGTAACCAAAACAGCAAGGTACTGGCATAAAAAAAAGACACTCAGACCAGTGGAGCAGAACAGAGAACCCAGAAATCACCCCCCAGGCTTACAACCATCTGATATTGGACAAATAGAACAAAAACATACATTGGGGAAATGACTGCTTCTTCAATAAGTGGTACTGGGAAAATTGGATACCCACATGCAAAAGAATGAAACTAGACATGCACCTCTCACCATATACTAAAATCAACTCAAAATGGATTAAAGAATTAAGTATAAGACCCAAAACTGTAAAATTACTAAGGGAAAATATAGGTGAAACACTTCACAAACTAGGTCTGGGCACAGACTTTATGAACATGAACCCAAAAGCACAAGCAACCAAAGAAAAAATAAACAAAATGGACTATATCAAACTAAAAAGCTTCTGCACAGCAAAGGAAACAATCAACAGAGTGAAATGACAACCTACAGAGCAGGAAGAAATTTTTGCTAACTATGCATCTGACAGAGGATTAATATCCATAATATACAAGGAACTCAAGCAATTACACAGTAAAGAAAACAAAGAACCCAATTAAAAAATGGGCAAAGAAGCTGAATAGACAGTTTTCAAAGGAAGATATACAAATGGCCAACAGATACATGAAAAAATGCTCAACATCACTAGTCACCAGGGAAATGTAAATTAAGACCACACTGAGATATCACCTCACCCCAGTTAGACTGGCTATAATAAAAAAGACAGAGAATAACAAATGCTGGCAAGGATGTGGAGAGAAGGGAATGCTTCTATACAGTTGGTGGGATTGAAAATTATTACAACCGCTATGGAAAACAGTATGGGGGTTTCTCAAACAACTACAGATAGATCTTCCATATGATCCAGCAATCTCACTTCTGGGTATATACCCAAAGGAATGGAAATCATCATGTCAAAGGGATACCTGCACTCCCATGTTCATCGCAACTCTGTTTACAATAGCCAAGACATGGAACCAACCTAAATGTCAATCAATGGATGATTGGATAAGGAAAATGTGTTATATATATACCATGGAATACTACTCTGCCATAAAAAAGAATGAAATTCTCCCATTTGCAACAACATGGATGAGCTTGGAGAAACTTATGTTTAGTGAAATAAGCAAAGCACAATGGGATAAATACCACATGTACTCACTCATAAGTGGGATCTGAGAGAGAAAGAAGGAAGGAAAGAAAGACTACAGTGGTGCGTTGAACTTGCAGAGGGAGAGAGCATACCTAGGGATACCAAGTGGAGTGGGGGTAAATGAGATAGGGAGGGAGAGGTCGGGGATAATTGGGTGGGGAACATGGGGTATAATCACAATTTGTGGTAATGAACATGCTGCCAGTATGGATCTGGCCATCATATCTTGGGCATGAATGGTGACTATCAGCTTTGTAGATCATGAATATTCATAACCAATAAACAAACAAATAAATAAAATAAAATAAAAATTAAAAAATTAAAAAGATCAAGTGGCCCAAATTACTACCAGAATCACTTGAAAAAAATACTTATTTTGAAGAGATCCATCACAGAGTTGACATTTGAGCACTCAGTTTTATTTTAGGTAGAAATTAGAGCACAAACTCAAAATAAGTTCCTC